CTGACCATTTAATCATTCCATACAATATCCCAAACAAATCTACCAATAGAAAACAACAATCCTGCCTTTCTTTACCGAGGCTAATGTACAGATGATGAGTGTGGCTTTGCTGATGATGTGGGTATTCATAGTTGGGATAAGAATGATCTTGACCCCCAAAAAATAGGACTTGAGATAAACCTTTCCAGAACAGAAACTGTTCTCTGGTAATGGGATAAAAGCAATGATGGCACATATCCTAAATCCATCATAAAAATTCAGGATGTGGAATTAGTAAATACTAAACACTTCAGATATCTTGGTGTATGGATTAGTTATAACAAATTTAGTATAGAAGAAAAGGAAATTGAACATAGAATAGGTTGTGCTAGAATTAGTCTCATCCAACACTGCAAATTTCTACAAAACCAAAACATTTACCTAGAAACTCTAGTCATTTTCTTAAATAGCCTCATCAAATAAAGATTTTCATATGGATGTCATGCATCGTGCCAAATCCATGCAGAAATATCTAAACCATCAGAAGTATACAACTGCATTCTAAGATCAATGGTTAAAAATGGCTGTGTAGAGCAAGTGAAACCTGAGTATCTTGGCAAAGACAATTCTTCCTTGCATATTATAGACTGGTGTTACAGAATCACAAAAAAGAACTGTACCAAATAACAGGAACTATATCAATTGATGACTCACAGCAACAACAACTAAAATGGATATCACATATAACCTGAAGAGAAAATAATGACTCAATCAAGATGTGAACATTACACACTTCTTCCAATAAAAGGTTAGGAAGGAAAAATAAATAATCGAAACACAAAAAAAAAAAAAAAAAGCTACTGGACTTGAGAAAACTATCTTCCTGAAAAATTGTTTTAAGAGAAAGATTTTATAAATTTCAACTGAAAGCAGTATTGGCTGCTCAGTCAATAAATGCCAAATGTTTCCTTATAAGGGAAATGGCTACGATTACCATTACCATTCATGGCATGTTGCAGTTGGACAATATCTGCATCTACAATACTGACCAGGAGAAAATTTGAAAAAATAATAACCTCTTTCCAGCCAGCATCACATGGAACCAAAGGTAATTCATTACTTTAATCTAGATAACATAATACCATGGAAAGACCTTTGCTACTTTGATATCAAGCACATTTGTATAAGAAACAGGAAAAGGTGTTTATTAAGTGGGGTATTTTAAAGAAATGGAATCAAGAATAACTATTATAGAAAGTGTGCTAGTAATTTTTTTGGTATTAGCATTTTATATTACCAGTCTATGAAAATATTTTGATAATTATGGTCTATGCTTCTAATTAAATGAATTTTATTCATTTTTATTTTAAAATCTTTTGGAATATTTAAAACCACCATTATCAGTATTCTTCTCCGCTATAAAATATGCATTTGTATGCAGAAAAGGAATATTTATATCCGTATGTAGAAATAAATGAATGTGTATTTAATGTTTTATTTGGGACTTAGAACCTTTTTACAGTTTATTTTTTTAAAGATTACAATCAGAAAGAGATTGTTAGCTCTACCCGATTGTAACTTAGAAGTTTGCATGACAACAGAATTAAGGTATTTGACATTTTTATAGATCCAAGTTTAAGAGAAAAAAATATATTTTATTAAGAAAAAAAATTTTAATCTGTAGTTTTGGGACTCGGTTGCCATGATGTAAACTGATTCCGCCTGTTGAGTAGTTTGCATTCCTCAGATACCATCCTACTAGTTTTTCAACAGAAAATCTCAGGATTTTCCAGACAATTAAGGAAGTGGGAAATGATGAGCCAGAAACAAAAAAATGATAAAATAAATTCTTTATTTTTACATTTGCAGAAACATTTATGGACAATGGTTACTAAGTAAATTTTTTTTTCTGTCTGTTTTTGGTGTGTTATTTGGAAATAAAAGATTTTAATTTGGGAGTAAATTTGCTTACATTTGATTTGGTAGGAAGAAATTTAATTTTCACTAGTTTAAACCAACCTTTTTTATTCAGGATTTCTCAATTCCTTATATAAGAAGATATGAAATTTCTAAGTATTGTAAATTGTGCAAGTGAATGACTTGACTGACCACAATAGACTTAGAACATTAAAGATTTTACTAAAACCTTTATCTTTACTCATTGACTCAGATTTACAGCAATAATAATTACAATTAAAAATAAAAATACAAGCAAACCTAAAACACAAGCAATAGTGTTTTTGTACCATTGAACATAAATTCAAAGTGTACAAAAAGAGTCGTGACTTATGGTCACATCACATTGAAACACTGGTTCTTGTATGACCATAAAAGTTAAGCAACATCAAGCCTGGTCAGTACCTAGATATGTGACCTCTTGGAAATACCAAGTGCTGTAAGCTTGGATTTGTGGGTGGTGTAATGAATAGTGGCTCAAAATTGATAATCCAAGAGCTAATTCATGTCTGGTTTGTTATATACGCTTACATCGAAATACCCTTGGGGAAATGTATGAATCCACCTTCCCTCTCCCCAGCTATGGGTTAATTAGTAGGAATTGTATCAATAAACTATTATTATCTCAAAAAAAAAAAATTGTGTACAAAATATTTAAATTTTGGCATTAAATAACACATAGAGGTTGATATACCATTAAACAAAAATAACCAACCAACAAAAGAGTTGTGATATCTTCATGGACAGTTGTGATATGATTTACAACATGATAACAAGCCTAAACATTTTATGACCATTAATTATGAAACCCTGATTATGATATCTATGTTACCTTCAGGCTTGTGATATGTAATCATTGTTGAGTAAGCAAGTGATTGATGGGAATGTTTATGATAACTTGCTTCTCACTAACAAACCTAACCTAAAATGAGAGCAATTTTGAATGCCAATGTTGTTTTGTCTCTATAGAAGCACCAATAGTTTTCTTTTCCAGTCAAAGGTATTATTGCACATATCATCTTGATGATTGAGAAGAGAATATACATTGCCACTTAGTTTCTCTCTTAAATCTGACTCCAGTAGCTAATTAGCTCAAGTTTGTTTAGGAAGGCTTATGGATATGTCAGATTGAAACTCCAGTTCTTGTATGATCAGTGGTTAAGCAATGTTGAGCATAATGAGTGGAATGGATAACAACTCGGAAGCTTCAATTCCAATTGGGTTCTTTATATTCATTTACACACAAATACCCTTGAGAAAGATATGAACCTACCTTTTCTCTCCCCAGCTATGAGTTAATTAGTAGGACTTGTATCGCTAAATAATAATATTATTGCGAAAACATTCTTATAATCTAAAAGTAATTTCTGGCTTTAAATAGCCTGCAAAAGGTTGATAAGCCATAAAAAATGAATCCTTTAGGAAGCAGTGTGAGTAGTGTAATGGATAACAACTCTCAAGTCAAGTTCAAATTCTAGCTGAGTTCATTATGTCTACTTTTGTACAAATTCCCTTAGGAAAGGTATGAATCCATCTCTTCTCTCCAGGCTTGACTGGGCTCTCTCTTGCCTTGAGGTTGCAACCAGCCCATAAGAAGGAAAGCACAGAATTCCTAACCAGCCTAAAGAGGGATGGGCTCAAGTTATCTTGTCCTTGACATACCACTACTACTACTATGGCTACAGTATATGGGGTCCTCCTATGACCCTAATGTGTTACAGGACATGTGATGTGATATGATGATATTTAAGAAGATGAAAACAGCATTAGATTTGTAAAAACCATTGTATTGATAGCATTATCTGTTCTAATGCTGAACAATTAAACATCAAAGGTAAATAACAGATTTGTTTAATCTTTTCGGAGTGCTTCCAGGCATCGTTTATTACCTGTCCAAAATGTAGGATGACTATTTTTAATCTTCATTTTTACAATTAAGACAGTTTTACCCAAATGTTCTTGTGAAGGTTATTTTAATTTCTAACTTAGACAAAAAAAGTCTACTTAATATACTTGTAAAATCTATGAGACTGGTATGGATAGTACAAATGCAGCAGAACAGTTTTCAATCTATTCATTAAAAAAAGAAGAGTTTGAATGCTTTCAAATATAAACATTTCAATATTGAATACACATAGATTTATCAAGATGAATTTTTATAGGATTTTGTGATTGAATCTGGAGATGACCCAATAGACCATTGTGAAACTTTCAACACTAATGTATTATCTTGACCATTCATAGTTCATCTGTTAATCTTCCTGGTTTAAGTCAGATATTCAGCCTGTGCTGAATGTCAAGTTAGTATTGACCTCAGGAGGATGTGAGTGGCACAGTAACCTTTGCTGGTCACCTATTGTAGCCAGAATAATTTTGGCTTTAAATAACTCACAAAGGTTTGGTATAATCTATAAAAAACAAATCAATCAGCAATCAATTGCAATAAATATGAAACCATTATGAATATATAATGCTGCATATCCTGGATATCATATTTTGGGATACCTTTATCTTAAGTTGACTAAATGTTGTGTTACTGTGGTTCCGTAGCTTTAAATTATCTTTGTATGATTTAAATTTAATTTGTTTTGTGCCATAAATGGCTCGTATCTATATTCAAATGTATTTGGTCTCCTATAATCAATGGTGAATCATGTCAGAGAAGTTTTCCAAATTGTCTTATATTTTCTGTTCTGGACAATATAAATGCAAGCAAGTTTTAAACTAACAATCAAATAAACCTTACAGTGTATACTTTGCAAACTATAGCCGATAAAAAGTGTTTTGCTGGGACTTGCTTAAAGAAATGCATTATTAATTTGTTTGCTAAAAATGAGTTAGCCATATGGCAATAAATTAGTGAAATAAAAACAATTATTTTGTGATTTGCTTACAGCTTATGATTCTTAATAATTACTTTGAAATTGAGGAACTGTACACTTGTATCCCCTAAATGTTTTTGTTGGCATATGAATATAACTATTTAGTTTGCTTAACTTTTTATTAACATTTTTGCTCTTTTCATCTTTGTGTTTACTTTTCTCCATTCTTGTTTTTATTCTCTTATGCTCTTCTTTCTCATTCACTCCTTTTCTAATCATTCTCTTCTTTTTCCTAACTTCACCAACTCTTTTGATGTGCATTTTTCTCTTCTACCTTTCTTTCTTTCGTTCTCCCCTCTTTCTCAACTTGGTTCACATTTTTCTTCTTTTCCCTTTCCATTACTTTTTTCATATATTTTTCTTTCTGCATTTTTTTCCTTTCAGTTTTTCATTCCATTTTCTCTTTTCTACTTTTTTGCCCCTTCTCTTTTTTTTTTTTTCTGTTTTCATTTTCCCTTCATTTTTTTTAACCCCTCATCTTTCTGCATTTTATTCCTTCCCAAATATTTTTCTTAATTTTTCTGCCTTTTAACTTTACCCTTTCCTATTATGGTTTTTTAATCTCCTCTTCTTCCTCTCCACTTCCTTATTTCTTATTCTCTCTTCTTCTTTGATCCTCTCATATTTCTGTTTTCAAGCTCCCCTTTCTACTCCCCTTTTAAGCTCCCCTTTCTAAACATTCCACCTATTTTTGCCAAAAGCCAAACAGTTATTGTTATATATTATCAAAGAAATGGAGTTCATTGCATTCAGCATCTCAACACCAGCCAACTGTGTCACGAGGAGAGAAAGAGAGAAAAAAGAAGGAAAGCCATAGAAAAGCTCTGGCCAGAAATAAAGGCACTATTTATGGATAGCAGAACCAACCGTTTCACTCCGTACAAAGTGTTTGATTCCACTAAAGACCTAAATTCCTCTCATATCATTTGGCTCTGCCTACCTTGGGCTTTTTTACCATGGCTATTCATTCTTCACAAGTGTATTTCTCACTGCCAATATTGATTAGCTTTATCAAAATCTTTTATTTCCCCATGTAAGCACATGTGTTTCTGTTTCTAGTTACAATCTCCTAAACCCACTCTTTTATCATTCAAACTGGCCTAAATTCAGTATAATTCATGATGCTCCTGCAAACATATTTTTATTAAAATTCATTTTAGAACTGTTTGATAAAGGGAGAGGAAAATGCTAAAATCATTGTCATTTGTCACAAAAAATAGTAATGGAGACCTTCCTACTGTATCAATTCTTTGATTCAATCAAGGATTTTCTCTTTTGCTATTATTTCAAGCAGAGACAAGACTTAATATAGTCTGACTGGTTGCAGAAAGATATATATCAATAAACTATAAAGCCCTTAATACTCCCCAATAATTTGCACCCCCCCCTTTGAAAATGATGTAAACTAATTTTATTTTCAGTGTGCCTATTCTTATTCAGCCCCTCACCCTTCTCACTCAAAGAACTCTACTGATGGGGGCTGTGTAAAAACTACTGAACATTGGATTTAAAGGTCCCAAAAAATATGTCCATGATATTCTTCAGGATTGTGGCATAGTGGATAGAAGTGTTGATTAGTCTTGTGTTGCTGTTCAATCCCTGGATTAGGTTGTGAAGCAATACACTCTGGTTGAGCTGTAACACACAAGAATTGGGATCAAATAGCTTGACAATGTCCAGTGGGTGTTTGGCCATAATATCTATAATAACATCTACAACAGTCAAAGATTAGAACAATAATTCAACTAAATTGAATAAGTCAAAGAACATTGGACTTAATACTGAATTAGTAACTCTTAAAAGTAGTCTTTGTTTTTGTTCTTTGTCAGGATTTTATCTTCTATTAAAAGAATTACAATGACAGTTATATATTCAGTTAAATCCCTGTTTTTATAGCTCATCAATCTATTTGGTCAATTCAGATACTGTTCTCTTAACTAAAGTTTATTTGAGAAGAAATACAGTCTTTGGTTGAAATTTAAAAAGTAAGATTTCTTCTTTTTTTTTTCTTTTTTTTTTCTTGACAATGCATTGTACAGTGTTTAAAGATTACCAAGTTCATATCTCAAACTGCCTGTCAGTTCTTTTTCCATGGAATTTTAAATGATAAATTTTTAAGGTACAAATGTTATTACAATTTTCTCTTTGTTTCTTGTTACTTTAAAAATTATTTTTCTATATTTTCTTCAACATTTTATCATTGGAACCAAATGAGTAACATTTCTTTTGTTTTTAAAATAATGTTTATCTGCTAATTATATATTGCATAACATAAATTGCTGGCTACTGAAGGCTGAAATTAGGTTTCCTCTTCTCAATAAGCTCTGTCTTAATTACTAAGCATCAGCAAATTAGGAATTTAGTTTTGATGCTTTCAGTTTAAAACAATGATCTTTCTTAGCAAGGTTCACTTTTGAGTAGAGCAACAGCCATCCTTTTTGATCAGATAATATCTTCTGGTAATACAGATTGTCCAAGTGCACATATTGAAGGTAATAGTTTTTAATAATCCTTATCTTATCATTCACAAACTAAGGAATTTAATGGAATTCAGTTAATGGAAAGACAATTTGAATTTGTTTTTCAAAGGTGAGACTTTAATTTTGCATAGAATGAATTGTAGATGGTGACATAGAGAAAAATTCAGTGTCTAACTTACATGAATGTCATAAACTAAAAGTTATTGTATGATTATATTACCATATTATTATATTTTAGAATTTAGTTGGATATTGATAATACTACTGGTGTCCTTTTGATGTTTGGGAAGACCTTTATCAAATATGATTCTTACAGTATTTGTTTTTTTTTTCAATTCTAAAAGCATTTTCTAATTTTTTTCTTTTTAATCCTGAAACTAAGGATTGCTGACTTTCCCTGGTCACCAGAGTTCTATAAATTTTATTCCATTTACTTTCTACTGGATACTGAACTTCAAATTTTGCTGTTTATATTAATACTTTTACCAGAAAATGTTATTTCTTGTTTGATATAACACTTATTTGTTATTGTTCATTATTTCTAATTAATTACATCCCATTTTTACCCAAAGCGAAAAGATTATCCTTTAATTGGCTGTTAATCTTATTTTTCACCATGATTTTTGTCTTTATATCTTCTTTACTTTAATTTTTAAATTTGCTCCTAAAAAAAACAATAATTGTTTTTATTAAGAGGTGATTATCAATAAAATATCACACCTGGTATATTTGAATTAAATGCCTTTTCATATGTCATTGTTTACCAAAGATAAAATTATAGCATTTAATCACAAAAACTGAAAAGGAGTACATTTTAACTCTTTCTATTTTTATAATGATTTTACTATTGAATAAGATGAAAATTGAAGGTAATGTTATTTAAACAATTTGTGTCTATGCAGATGGTTAAAAAAATGGGTAACAGTTACTTGAAGCGGCAAAACTTATTTTTTTCATTTTTAAAATGAGACCATAATTTATCTTTTTTAAACTTAATAGTCCATCTCATGCAATTTTTTTTACTATAAGACAACTACTTGGATGGGAGAATAAATTCATCAAGATATTTAATGAATTGGTAGTAAATAATTAAATTAACTGCATTTTCAAACAAAGTAGGCAAATTCAACCTGTTGTATATATATATGAAAAGAAAAACTAGTACCTTGACTTAACAGTCACATATCTTATTGCTGATAAACATTAAAAAGAATTTCAATTTTACCAGAAATGAGGAATCAATTCAGTTTATTTATTCTCCATATCTTTAGAAAATGTCAACATACTTTGATTTTGTAACTCTGTTTTGTAGACTTGGAAATTGGAAAGCAAGGATCTAAAAATAAAACTAATTTTTAGAATTTATGATGTTGATTTTTTTTTTTTTTAACTGTTAAACTCACCAGCCAAGCTGAAAAGATTTTCCTCTCCTCACTCATTTAATGCAGTTATGAAATTATGAGATTATATTTTGCACAAGGAAGTTACAGACTGTTGACAGTCAACAAAAAAAAAAAAAAAAGAAAATGGAATCTTTTCTCTATCCCTCCCCCCTCATTCCATTCATTTCTAATCTCTCAAAACAATTTCCTGTCTTTTGGCAAAATAGCATGCAATGGGATAAGGGTACTTGTTGAAATTGGGACCAGTTTAATTCCAATTTTAAGTGTCAAATTATGAGATAGTTTTGTTTGCATATTTCTTTTGCCTGATCCACCATTTCATAAGGTTATTAAGTCTTGAGAAAAAAAATTCTTTTAGGTTGGTTAGTCAACAATTTTATTTTCATTCAAAATTATTGACTTCATTCACATTTTCCTCTGTACTCTCTCTCTCTCTCTCTCTCTCTCTTTTTTTGATTTTTGTTACTCCTTTTTCATTCTTTCACCACCTTCATCTTTTTAAGCTTTTCTGTTTTTTTTTTCTTTCACTTTCTTTTTTTATAACCTGCAACGATATATTTTCTTTCATCTTGTTTTTTCTAGCTCCTCACTTTTCATTTTCATTTCAACCATCTTTTTCTTTTCTTCTCTCTCTTCTAATCCTTTTCCTTTTCAATGTTTTTTTTTTCATTTTTGTTGTTCTAACCATTGAGTTCCTTTTTAATCTTTCTCTTTTATTACATTTTCACCTTTTATCTCTCTTTCCTCCTGTTTTTTTTATTTATTCTGCCCTTTCTTTTTCTCTCAATTCCATTTTTATTTTTTCTTCCCCTTCCCATTCATTTTTTTTTCTCAATTCATACTTTCTTTTTCCATTTTTCTTTTCTTTTTTTTCTCTCTCTTCCATTACTCTCCATTTATTATTTACTCTTCTCTCTCTCACGCACATCAATTTCTCTTTTCTCTCTTAATTATTTTGGTTCTAATTAGAATGTAATTATCTGGCAGGTTGGATGTATTTTGTCTTTATACACATAGTTCCTTGACTTACCCATAAACAATATTTACATGAAATTTTCTCTTTACACTTGAAAGGAGGATTTTATACAATTTGGTAACTGAATCATTAACTTCAACAAATTTGTTTGGACAAAATTAATTTATAACTATTACAAAATTATTGAAAATTAAGAAAAAGTACATGCCAGATATTTTAGTTTGATGTTTCTATTTCTTTGAAGAGATTAAGTGCTAATCCTTTCTTACTTGAACTGATTATGTGCTTGAAGATTATATTAAACTCTTGCCAAAAAGTGTGTGCATGTGTAATGTTTACTATTTTATTTTTAAATTACATATTCATTTAAAGTTGATCCACTAACATAAGAGAAGGAAAATAAAAAATAATATTTTTCCACTATCAGTAAGTTTGGGCTTGAAAATTTGCAATAAAAATAATATAAGATTTAGTAGACCTTAATAATTGATAATTTTTATAGATTTTTTTAGAAATGTATTCATCATATTAAAAAAAACAAAATAAACTTTGTACATGATTTAAAATAAATATTTGTAAAAGACACTTGGTGGTTATTCTTTGATTATGAACTCAAATGTTTAACTTTTGTGAGGAATATTTTAAACTGAAACATTAGTAGCTTTTAAAAATTCTTGTTAATAAGTTTTAAAATAAAAAGAATCAACTGAATTTTTTTTTCTTTTTATCATTTCACTCCAAACAAGGTGATAATGCCATTAAGATACGAAGGGTTACTGGGAGTCAAAGCAAATGAGAAGTTCTTTAGTGAGGAGAAAGAACACTAAAAGAACAGATTTCAGGAATACAGAAGATGGCAATTAACATTGCATTTAAATTTTTTAAGATTGTATATGGAAAATAACAAGAAACTGGAAGAAAGTTAAAACAGGCAAGAAGTACAAGAAAAGAAACTATTAGAATAGAACTTAAGGTTACATTTAGCTATTTCAACAGAAAGACAGTGAGACCTAATAGCCAATCAAGTAGTATGCTTAAATTCACATGCTTGAGGTATCATGAAGGAGAGCTCATTAGAATAACTGCCATGAAAATATTTATAGAAAAGACAGAAGTCATGTCACAGTGGCAGGAAAGTGACTGAAGTTGAGATGCCAGATCAGGATCGATAACATTACAGACTCTTTCGATTTGGTTGAGCATCTCGAGATATGAAGCTGGAGCACCAGACTAGATATAGCAACAATATTCAACGCATGGACCAGTGATAGATTTATAAATGTGAAAGATGGATGCTGATAAAAAAAATTGTCTGGCTGGACACCATGAACCAGCAGACCTAGCAATTGATTGAGTATAATTAGCTCCACTTTGTTAATAGAAAATATGAGACCAAGAAGGCAAAATGAGTTGCTCTCCTGAAAGTTAGACATGCTTTGGGAGGTGGTGTCAAAAATGGTTTCCTATGGTAATTAAAAGAGAGCATTTTTTTTTTTTTCTTGGTGCTGTTAGAATTTGCCCCAGTTAACAACTGATTGGAGGTCATTTTGAGGAGCAGCTGTCAGTTTTACTTTGCCAAACCTATCAAACTTTCTATTAAGACAGGAATAAATAGTTTTATAGCAAACCCTAAAATATTAAAGATTTATACAGAATTTTTTTTTTTGACTGGAATTGTCTCAATAATAGAAAAGGTTATGAGAGTTCAACATCTAATTTTCATTGTATTGGCTCCAAACATTTTTCAATGTTTTTTTTTAGTTTAAATTAATAGTCATTAAACATGTAGTACTAGTTTACCAGTCTAATACTCAGATCTAGGCATCTAATCACCAAAAAGAATTATGCAGCCTAACATATAAGTAGAATGAAACTCTTCAGATGAGCAACTTTGTACTGGCCATTTGCTGCCCTTCATTACTGATTTGTTCCATTACACAGGCAGTTATGAAATGGTGAAATTTATTTAAAATGTTTAGGGATAGTATATTGGCAAGTAGTGAAACCTCAAGGTTCAATGAATTAGTCAGTTTTTCTGTGTTTTTTTTAATCTGATTTCTTTGATATTTTACTACTAATCTATCAAATTCTTAACAAGGAAAGGTTGTTTTGGAACTATTTCAGGTCAACTTTACTTAGTATGATAAATTAAGTGCTTTTCAAATTGGGTGTAAAGGATAGGCATTTTCTTAAGTGAAAACAATTGTTCTAATATTGTTATGTCTGTATGGGAAATTTAAATGCTTTGGTATCATGTAAATATGTATTAGTTTAATTTGAAGATTAATGCCTGCTTGTTTGTATGACTATGTCTCCATTTTGTTTGGTACAAAGAGTATATGTAACTGAATATGTATATGTAACATATCCATATCATCAATTCACATTTTAACCACCAAAGTTGCATTCTGTTCTGCTTGGTCAATTCAGGATGAGTAACCATAAAAGCGTGAATTATTGGAGATAAAAAAAAAAAAATTTGCACACCTCCTGAGGCAAATTCAATTAACAAATATCCTTCTTAGTTGATCATTACACAAAGAAAGAAAAACAATTTCACAAGTTAGTTTCTGGATGGTACATTTCACTTAAAGATCAATTTCACAGTAGATAACCAGTGTATGTTTTTTAAAAGATTGATGTAATTTGTTTTCTTATCTTCCATCAATAGTGACTCATCTAAAAAAAAAAATTAAATTAAATTTTAACACATGATTGTTGTATTTGGTTTAATGTTCTGTACTTTGTTTTGTAATTTCTCCACTTTATGTCAGTAGAAAACATGAGAGCAAGAACTTGGGACATGCAGAGACAGACTTTCATATGAAAATAAAACTCATCCTTTCAAACAACATTCAATCTTGTTTTAGTAAAATGTGTGAGTCAAAGATATGAATATAAACTTGTGTGTATTTGCATGTTAATTTCTAGCAATTGATAGCTTTGGATTCCCATTGACAAATCCTTTCTGATTTAATCCTCATTGGATAATCTCTCTCTATTACAGTCAAGTATTATCAGTACACATTAGATTCTTTTTAACATAAATTCTGCTGTCTATACTTATCAAACTCAAATGCCTAAGGAAGAAAGTTATGTAGTCAAATGAAAATATGTCTTGACAGAGCCCTGCTTTGTCTGTTAGCAAATGTACCACATTCTAGCAAGTGAAAAGAATTCTTCGTCTTTATAGTCACAGGTAATTGAAGAATGTTCTTTGAATTCTCATCATGCTCTCCATTTTTTCTTTTTATCATCGAGAGCCTATTTTAGATTCTTGTCTCTCCTGGAAAACATCTGATTATGTGTTTGTCTATTTAAGGTGCATTTATAGTTGGTTGTGAATTTTGTCTGGTTCAGGATGGGCCAGTAATCTAAACATTTCATTCAGAAAATCTTTTCCCAAAAAATCATGCAGTTTTAAGTCCCTTTGCTATAATTTATTTTCATTTCAATGTAAAACCTCCAATTGAAATTGATCGCTAGATGAAATACCCCCCCCACCACCACCACCAAATATACACACACACACACACACACACACACACACACACGTGTTTGTTTCATATTCATTTGGTGCATCAGTGTAACTTTTGCACAGTAGAAATTTCTTTATTGTTCATTTTTGGTCAAAAAGTATTATAAAATCTGAAAATGCAATTATTTTACTATGAATCTATTGCTTTAGTCATAGATTGGACATTTGTAAAATTTGATTAAATTAAACACCAGATTGATTTTATATTTTCTTCATAGATGTCATTATTATTATTATGAATAGAAATCAGTGCAGCAATCATTTGTTTTAAAATATCTTAAAGTGAAGTGCAAGAAAACTAACTTCTGAAATTTTATTTGAGGAAGATTAAGTGATTTAAAGTTTAATTCATCTGAAAAACAAATATTACTTACTTTTAGTTTAAAATATCACAGAAAATCATTTTTTTAACTCCGAGTTGGGCGTTTTTAGGAGAGATGTTATCACATTTATTAATAATGTGATGTTTGTGAGATTTATGTAAAGGAGAAATACTTTAAAATTACATGACAAGTACAATGTAAACACCCTCTTTTTTTTTTTTTTTTTTTTTTTTTTTTAGATAATTTTTTAGCTAACCAGTAATCTTAATAATTTTAAATATTTTAAGCATTCTAATATTTTATTGAATTTTAAGTACTCTGGCTTTATAGTTTTACTTATGAAGATGCTTGGTGAGGAAATATTACAATTATTACCAATAATTTTAAATTTACTATAGTTACCACTCTTATTTTCTGAGAATGTCGTGTATGGACATCTGTATTTATGAAAAAAAAATGCCATGTTTACATACACACACACACACACACACACACAATTTCAATTTTTTTTTTTTAAATACTGGGGGTTGCTGAATACCAAGCTTTTCAATTTATGTTTAGTAAATATAGTTTTTATTTAATAACAATATCACTTGATGCTACAAATTAATACAGAATTTTAAAATTTTATATATATTTCAATTAAAATTCTTAAAAAATGAAAACAATTCTTGTAAAAATTCATTATTCATCAAAATAAAAAAAATTAAAACAATAGTGTCCATAATGTTTTATTCATGAAAGTAATTTTTTATTAAATAATGTCTTAGTTTTATTGTATTTTTTATTTTATGATTCAGAGCAGATTTTATGTAATTGGTGGTCCTCTCTAACCAAAGAAATTTGATGATTTAAATTTTAATTATTGCTCATTTATGTTGGGTAAGGAAATTTGTTGTGAACATATTTCTATGAGTATTATTTCTGTTAATTAGAAAGAAATTGTTTTTTATTTGTTTTTCTTTCTTTGATGAAGACTAAACCCTGTAAAAAGTTTACACATTGGTATAATAGTGGTATGAATATTAATCCATATCCATATATATATATATATATATATATATATATATATATATATATAATCTTGTATATTTAGGCAGCAAATGTTCTTTA